GAAGATAGCGTCAATCAGTTTGAAAAGTGGTGGAACCACAGTATCAGGGTGGGTCCTAAAGCTTAATAGTAGTATCTTACATAAGAGGAAAAGGTACAGACAGACTCACAAGAGGAAGACTATACATGAAGAGGCATCTAGAAGTCCAAGAATGTCAATAAATGTCTGGGGTTACTAGAAGAGAGAAAGAAGAATCTTTCCTCCCTACAGCTCTGAGGATATAGCCCTGTTAATACCCTGAATTTGGAATTCTGAACTATAGAACTATGAAACCATAAATGCCTGTTTATATAAGTCACTCGCTTTTTCATATTGTGTTGTTGCAATCCTGGGGAGCCAAATTTTCTGTAAGTCTCAATCATATCCACTTCATAGGGGTACTATAATAATTAAATGAGCACACATACATACTCATACCCACTTCAAAGAGTATCTGACATATAGAAATGGTCAATAACTATTGTTGTTACATGCTGTTGAGTCACTTGCCACTCATAGTGACCCCTATGTACAATAGCCCTGAAACCTGCTTTATCCTGTGCCAACCTTAATATCTCTGAAACACCTACCCTCATTACCCCAGTCACTGGATCAATCCATCTCATCCAGGGTTTCCTTCTCTTGAACTTCCCCTTCACGCTTCCAAGCATGATGCTCATTTCCAAGAACATGCTTGCAACATGCTCAAAGTGCATCAGACGAAGCCTCAGAGTCCTTTTCTCCTGGGAGCAGCCTAGTTTCACCCTGTCCAGGATGAACCTGTTCTTCTGGCAATCCATGGTATATTCAGTACTCTTCCCCAGCACTACAGCTCAAAGGCATCAATTCTTCTTCTATCATCCCTAGTCATTGTCCAGCTTTCTGATGCATAGTAAGCATTTGTGAAGACTATGGCCTCGATCAGACACACCTTGGTCTCCAGATTGATGTTCTTCAGTACTCTGGACAGGACCATGACAGTTGACTTTCCCAGTGCAATGTGTCTTTTGATTTCCTGGCTGCTGATACCAAGAGTGTTGATTGTGGAGCCAAGCAAACTGAAGCTGTTAACAATCTCAATCTCTTCACCATCTATCATAATGCTGCCAATCAGTGCAGTGAGACTGAACTTCAATCCATATTGAAGGCTACAGTCCTTGACCTTCTGTTTTGTTTTGTGTTTTTTTTTTATAAGATTCACTTCCCCCCCCCACCCCCCCTGGCACAGGAGGAGATTTCTCCTCGTTCTCCAGCAGAGCATCTGGTGGATTTGATCAACAGGGCTTTGGGATTGCAGTGCAGCTTCTTGCCACTAGGCCATCAGAGCTCCCTAGTTCTTGATCTTCTGAAGCAAGAGCTTCAGGTCCTTCTCAGTTTCAGAAAGTAGGGTTGTGACATTTGTATAAAGCAGGTTTTTGAGTCTTCCTCCAATCCTGATGCCACATTCCTTCTCATAGGGCCTGGCTTCCTAGATGGTTTGTTCTGCATACAGATTGGAAAGATATGGCGATAGGACAGATTCCCGGTGTACACTGTTCCCAATTTTGAACCGTACAGTGTTCCCTTGCTCTAGTCTGACAACTGTCTCCTGTTCCAAGTATATGTTTTGCATAAGCACAATCAAATATTCTGGGATTCCCATTCTTCTCAGAGTCAGCCACAATTTGTTGTGATCTACACCATCAAATGCATTTTCATAGTCAATGAAACACAGATAGACATTCCTCTGGTACTCTCTACTTTCAGCCAAGATCGATTATCTAACATTAGCTATAATATCCCTATTACCAAGGCCTGCTCTAAACCCAGCTTGCACTTCTGGCAGTTCTCTGTTGATGTGGTGGTAGTCTGACAATTTTTTTAATAATTTTTAGCAGAATCTTGTGATATTAATGATATTGTTTGATAATTTCTGCACTCTGTTGGATCACCTTTCTTTGGAATGGGAACAAATATAGATCTCTTCCAGTCAGCTGGTCAGATGGTTGTCCTCCAGATTTCTAGGCACAATTTGGTGAGCACATCCAGGGAAGCGTCTGTTTGCTGCAATATGTCTATTGGCATGCCATCAATTCCTGTGGCCTTGTTTTTGCCAATTCTTTTAGAACGGCTTGAACTTCTCCCTTCATCACCACAGGCTCTTGCTCATATGTTGTTTCATCAAATTTTTCTGTGTTGGCCAATTCCTTTTGGTACAATGACTCTGTATACTCTTTTCATCTTCTTTTCTTCTTTTAATGCTTCCTGGATCTTGTAATATCCTGCATAAACCATTGTTGACTACTGCAACTCAAGGTTTTTCATAAGCATTAGTTATATTATTATCCATTAATTGCTTTGAGAGAGAAAGATGAGCAATCTCCTCTTCTGTGATTCATAGCCTCTGAAAAACTCATGTGAAGGGTCAGCTCTGTGTCTGTTCTGACTTCATAGCAATGGATTTGAGGTTTTTTATAATTGGTAATATTTTTATTCTCAGTATCCCTATATGGTGTAAGTATTGCAGTTATTACTATCGGCAGATGATAGAACTGAGGCAGAGAGAAGTTAAAATAATTCAAAATCACTTGTAATGTTCTGTGTTTCAGAATGAGCGGTGGGTTGGAATTTAGGTAGAATGTAAGCATAAACACTTATTGGGGTCCTATTTTGTATAAACACACAACTGTCATTGTCTTTGAGTTGGAACTGTTTCATAGCTGACCTTCCACTGAGTTGAGTGTTCAGGATGCTATAAACTGCATTGGAGAAGACTGCCCACCTTGTGCCTATGTCAGTGAATTCAAGTCACCACTTTTGTGTTAACAGCACAACTGCCTATGGACAATGACACCAGGGTTCTCTATTTTGTATAAGACATCTTCTAAATGCTAAGTCAGTAGAGAATAAGAACACAGTCTTATCCTTGAAGGTGATTACAAGGAAGGACATTCGAGAGCTTCCAGGGTGATAAGGACAAAATCGGAGTAAAAATCGAGCCCCTGTCCAGGAGTCTTTGCTCTTTAATTATTGTATCTAGGAAATTGGGGAATGTGCTGATTAGAAGTGTTTGCAAGTTGCAGTTGATTTATGGAAATAATAACATACTTGGTTGGAGATTTTGACCCGAGTATTGAAGATTGAAGCTAGCTTGATATGGGGCTTTCCCTGGAGGACAAACCATCTGGAGTGGGTATTTGAACCTCAGTTGAGGCACCCTCTTTTCTGCTCTTTCTCTGCCTCATATTGCTATTTGGTAGGTCCCTGTATATTCTCTTTCAATATTGCTCTGACCAGTATGCAGTCTTGAGAACCTAATGTAGCTTCATGAGGAGAGTTCTGGAGGAACAGTGGTTAAAGTGTGTGTCTGTTAACCAAAAGGTCAATGGTTTGAACCCATCAGCTTCTCCATGGGAGAGAAATGTAGTAGCCAACTTCCATAAATATTGGAAACCCTACTTTGACCTACTGGATTGTTGTGACATGGAAATAACTAGATGGCAGGGAATGGTGTAGAGCTTTGGGAAAACGAGGTAATAATGATTATTTGATGTGGTTACTGTGAGAGTTACACTGATAAGAAAATATGTGTGAAATTGGATCCAAGTGAAAATGGTGGCTGCCTCTGTAGGCCCTGCCCCTTTGTTTTATCCAAGGGCTATATGATGAGCCCTTAGTTATGTTTCTGAACATTTCCTAGTGTAAAAGAAAGAACATGACCTTTGGGAAACAATACTACTTACCTGTAGCTGGCTTAAACTAGCCAGGCTTCAATTTTCAGATAGTATTGATTTCATAAGATGAAGACTCACGGGCACATTCACTTAATGCCAGCTCATCTCACTGGTTCTGTATTTTCCTGTTTTGTTCACATGAATGTTGATTTCCCCATAATGTGTTTACACTTTGAAGAGAGGTCTTGAATCTTGTATTCCCTGTATCCTTGCCCCAGCACTTAGTTTTGGACTATAGTAGGTGCTCACTAACCATGAGTTGGCCTGGGTTGAGGGGAGCATCCTTGGTATTTTGATGTAGTTTCTGAAGGTAGTACAAATAGTTTGCATTCCATTACCAACTGGAAAGTTGTTGGTTCAGACTCCCTCAGTGGTTCTTGCTAACTACGTTTGAGTTATCCAAACTGACTGGATGAAAGGCAAACCCAAGCACAGCAGGCCCTGGGCCGTCCCTATGATCAGTTATGCATGGGACGCTTACTTCATCATAGTTCACTGACTAATTTTTCGAAGTAGGCTCCCAGACTCTTTACCCTGTTTGTCTCTGTTAAGATTGTTGTTGTTAAATGCCATTGAGTCATACACAACTCGTAGCAACCCTATGAGTGAAAGACCTGAACATCTGTATAACTTTCATCATTTCTCCACATTCATAGAGTTTCCAGAAGAAAGCTATTTCAGAAGTGGATGCCACTCCTGCTTCAAGCTTGTTTTAATCGGAGAGCTCCACCAAACACTGTCCACCATGGGTAACCATTATCACATTTGACACATCAGTGTCACAGTGTTTAGCATCACAGCAACTATGAGTTACCTCTCTACAGCAAATGGACAGACCAATGCTATACCCAAACAATTAAAAGCAGGTCTGAGGGTGGCAAATTAAAATCACCCACTTTTGACTGGGTAGCATCACTTTCTGCCCACCAGGCCCACAGAGCTTTCTCTATGTTGGTGGTGGTGTTAAGTGTCGAGTCGTAGACAACTTTATGTACTTTAGAGTACATAGAACACTGTGGAGTTATTCTGCTGTCTACACATGAGTCAGAAGGAAGTAGACTGGCAAAGTTTTTAAAATAGCTTTCTATCCCATCAACAACATCATCCCATCCTTTTTTAGTTCAAAGAAGTGCCTGCGGGCTGCTAGAGTAGGAAAAGACCAACCCATTGAAATGGCCACCAAACTATTCATTTATTTTGCTAAAAGGTTTCAATCTCTAAAGCAGCGCTGAGAGGATGGGAAAGGGAGGAAGGGCAGGAAAACAGCAAGGAGCCGTGGAAGGCACATCGGACAGCTGCCCCCGGCCACTAAATCAGCTGAGGGAATCCATCGTGGGTCGACTCGCTCCTGTTTTGAAAAATCTTGCTGACGTCCAGCCTCTGCTTGCCTTCGTCCTCAACTTCGTCCTCCTCGGATTTGCGGCGGGCGTTCTCGTAGAGCACAGCGCACATGCCCGTCAGCCAGGCTGCCACCGTCCCGGCCGCAAAGATGCAGAAGCCGATGAGCAGCAGGAAGATGTAGTCCTGGCGGTCCAGGTGCGTGATGCACATGTACCGGAGCGGGTTCCCCACCTTGGTGATGGGCCACTCCACCAGCTCCGTGGGCTCAGAGCACGTGGCATTTTGATCATCTGTGAGGGGGGAAAAATCACATCAGGCTCCCTGGTGAAACTCCCAGGGTCCCAGGGCCAGAATGGGCTCTCAGACCTTCTGTCTCACTTACTCAACGTGTGACCTCAAAGTGGGTAGAAGCATTGACATCACAGGGACCTTGTTCGAAATACACTCTTTTAAATCCCACCCCAGACTTCCTGGTCACAGGCTGCAGCTGCACAAAATCCCCAGGGAGTTGGCATTAAAGTTGAAGACATGTTTAGACTACCTCTTGCCTACAGACAGCTGCATCCAGGCCACCTCATCAAAGTGAGTTTGCTTCCTAGAGATGCCCAAGGAAGGAGACGCCAACATGGGGCCTGGGAGGTGGGAAAGTTAAGCAAGACTTCTTTCTGTGTTCATCATCCCTCTCTTCTCCCACTTCTTGACCCCTACCCTTTCCACTTTGACCGCTTCCCCTCACATGAGCCTGCCCAAGGACCACCAGTACTGCCCAAGGATGTTAAGTCTCTTGGCTCAACTCTAGGGAGAGGTAAACTTCTCTGAAAATGTCTACTAGGTCATGTCCCTTCCTCTCACACTGCATTCAGGGGACATGGGAGTCGGGGAAGGGTTTAGGAGAAAGAGATGTGTCTCCTGCATGGTGATGTTGGCAGCTACTGGTTGAATGCGTGACCTGAGTCTTCTGTCCTGTTTAACAGCTGACTCAGAGCCTGGTCACTTCTCTGAGCACCACCGCGCACCAGGTGCTGTGGTTTTCAGGACATAGCAGCAAGAAGAGTGGTCTCTAGAGGAAGATAGACCACGGCTCAAGTCTGCACCCTATGATAATGTAGTTCTGTAATCTTTGGCAGGATATTTCATTTAATCTTTCAATCTAATTTTTCTCATCTTACAAGTGTAGAAAATGGTACTATTCCCAAGATTATTGAGTCAACTGACATCATCAGTAGAAAGGCTAATTATTGAGTCTGGTGTACAATATTCAAAAGTTCTAACCTCAACCATGCATTTTTTTAAACCAATTTTGTGTGTGTGTGTACACCATCAAATCAAATCTGACTGGTACAGGAGGAGATTGACCCTCCTTCTCCAGTAGAGTATCCCGTGGATTTGAACTGCATCATGGCAAATATTTTTTTTTTTGCAAATATATTTTTTAAGAGACATAAATGCAGGTTATACACATGGATTCCACCTGATGGTATGCGTAGGAATCAGATGGATTACATCTGTGGAAAGAACCACTGGAGAAGCTCAATATCAGCTGTGAAAACTAGGCCAGGAGCGGATTGTGAAACAGA